ACTTTGACACATGACAATAACATTTTTGTGTTGAAACTGACCTGCAGTTCTGAGGTATGTTTTACTTTCTCCAATTTATCAAGAACGCTTTTCAGAGTCGGTTTTCCTGATAGCAGCTTGTGCTGATTTGAGGAGAGGAAGTCAGGACATTCTTCATTACTCTTCAAAGGATCATCATATTCCTGCAGTTCCCTTGTACAACAATAACAAAATATTGAATCAGTAGCTACTAGTATTATCATATAGAGCGGATTTCATATGAGTGGGAAACGGACGGTACTGTACTGTGACTGTAATCGTACTGTAACCAAATTTTAGTGCCCAACTGGTTCACCAAAATTGTGCAGACCAGGTCCGGTAACCGTGCGGTAGTGGTGTCCCACTCATATGAAATCCGCTCTATAGCATTTACTAGTTACTGCAACTGATCATTTGCACTTCATTGGCAGACTTCATAGCACCATTACAGACCAGTTAAAAGTCCTTATTTCTAGGGAATTAAAAGTCAAACGACTTACTGTTTGGCAATGTCTTGTAATTGCTGACATGAATTAAGTAGCTCATCCCATTTGCTACTTTCAAGCTGCAGCCTAACATACAATCACAAATTAATTAAAAAATGCATCAAAATACAAATGGCAAAACAGGCAGCCCAACATCTAAATAACCAAAATGGTAAAAAGAAAACATCCCTACCTTTTACTGACCGTTTGGCAATTCAAAGCATTTTCTTCTAGTTGTTGGTTTTTGGGGTTTGGTAGCTTGTTATCATTGCTACAAGAGAATGAAGGGTTATTTTTTTTTCCCTTGACACTTAAATTGGTCATCAAACATAGCAAGAACTACTTTTTAGGTAGACCTGTGCAAACTGTGTGTAAAAAGATAAATTCAACACCATAAAAAAGTAGGTGAAACCCGGGGGCGATACTCCCATATTATATTTGCTATACCAGGACATGCCGCTGGCCAGGGTATGGGTTTTGGCCTTGCTGTCTTAAACAGGGTATACATTTCTGACCCGAAATTGTCTTAAACAGGCTCTACAATTTAGATAAAAGACTGATATAATTTTTTTTGTGTCTTAGAAAGGGTAATATTTTCATAAGAAATACCGTAGAAATAGTAAAAATATGGTTTCACTGTCCCAGGATTACCGTGTTATCAAAAACTTCTTATTGTCTTTGATGGATGTCAGTATAATTGCAGTTTTGATGGTTGCGGCGCACATAGCTATTCCTTATTTTTCCAATTTGTCTTGAACAGGGTATGGATTTTCACTTTTTAGTGTCTTAAACAGGGTCAGGGATTTAGACCGCTGACAGCACGTATCTATCCAAAACGAGGTCGAGCACCCCCTCGGGAGGTGAAATAACTTACTGACATTTCGAACGTTAGTCCTTCATCTTTACTCCAACAAAAGATTAACATCTGAAATGTCAGTAAGTTGTTTCTCCTTTTTTAAGGTGTTAAATTTATCTTTTTACACAACTGTTTCTAAGTTAGAAACACTGACGCAGCTCACACTAGTTTACTGCTAGTTTCCACCAAACCTGTGCATTTAAGTGCTTCAGGGTTTGGTTGTATCTAGAGGGTAAATAGTGCTATCCAGTGGACACCATAAATCCTTATAAACTACTTACTCTTTATCTTCTGATGACAGTTGAAAAGCTTCATCAATAATATCAGACTCTAAAACTATTCTTTGAAGTTGTTCAAAAACATCTTTAGCTGTGTAAAAAAAAAATGAATTATATTTATTTTGCACTTTTAGTCACCTTGGACAATAAAATCTACTTGTAAAATAACAGAAACCTCCAAAACCAAAATGTTTAGAGACAAGAGACTAGGAAAACAAAATCAATAGATACCTTCTTCTTGAAAGTCTGGATACTCCTCTAACTTAATGGTATTGGGYTGTTCTTTAATCTTTGTAATGGCCAGCTACAAAACACCATGATAAAAAAATATAATTCCAAGCAAATTTCTTCTCAAAATGACTCCTAATCTTACAAGCTTCTTGTATGATAGTTGGTATGGGTCCCACTATACCGCTCCTACTTTTACCCCAGAGAAAGGAGAAAGTTTCCTCGAAAGGACCCAACATGATTACCTACACCGTAGTCAAGGAATAGAACTCGGTTTTGTGGGTCATAAGTTTACAATGCATGTAAATGGAATCATGATGAAATATTTTTTACTGAAAGTGTATCCCATAATGGTTTCCACTATTTTCGGGTCATAAGTTTACAATGTATGTATTACTATATACAATCATGATAATAGTCAATATTTACTGAAAATGTATCCCATAATGGTTTCCACTATTTTCGGGTCATAAGTTTACAATGCATGTATTAAGTACTATATACAATCATGATAATACAATATTTACTGAAAATGTATCCCATAATGGTTTCCACTAATGGTAATTCACTATATTTACCTCAAGACTTGCATGAAATAATCTTCTTAATCTTGCACTTGGAGGTAATCCAATGGGAATGTTTTGATGAAGATCTATAAAATGAAGTTATCTGATCAAAGATGATAATGTACATGTATATAGTACGCATATCTCAATTAACTTTCAGATCAAGAAGCACAAAGTATATGATATATTTTTGCAGCCTTTATGTACATGTACACCAATTTTCAAATCAATAGACCATAAGTATAAGAAACATTGAGGACAATAAAAACCCTGGTTGTAGCCAAACTCAATGACTTACTCACCAAGGGTAGTAACTACGCAATGGACCTTATTTCACCTTCACACCTGACCTTAATAAGTTGCTCAAAAAAGTTGATTATCCAATACTGATACATATACACTTACTAATTTTAGATGATGGTGGAGCTAGGGATTTTCTTTCTTTCCTTCCATGGACAAAGCTTGAGCGCCTTCTTTTCTTGGCGCTCCCCTTGAAGTATGTCTAGAATGTATAAGCAGTATTTCAAATTCATGATCTCATGCTGAATAATTCCCTTGACAGTTCCCTGTGCCACTATCTAAACGGAATCCATGTCATTGCATTGAAGCAAGATTGAGACCTGGTAAAAATGGGCCAACTCTTTAGATCTGGATATTTTCTAGGTGATTCAAATATATCAGATTTTTTCTGAGAGTATATGTTTTTTCTTTGTTTGTTTGTTTTTTTTCCTCTTGTTCTCTGACCCCTCGTATAAAGGGAAGGGGGAACGGAATGGCCCCTGTGAATTGCACTAGATCAGAATTATTTTGTTGATGTTGTTCTTGTATGTTCGTTTGCTTGTTGATATTGTGATTTGGAGAAAATAGCTGGATAAATATCCAGAAATAACGAATCAGCATATTTATTCTTTTCTTTTTATACATTAATCTTAATTTCTAAACTTCTAAATTTCKAAACATTGGCTTTTTACCGTTGTACGCCGACTTTGTCTTGAAAACTTGAATCCAGCGTCTTCTTCCTTAAAAATGTGCTTGAATTATTTCATKAAATAGCCATGAAAGAAATATTGARCATAAATATATCATTACCTCTGTGTTTGGTGACGATCGCCTCTTTTTTCTAAACATTGAAACAAAATTTTAAAATATTTGTGAAATCGATCAACWTCATTGCCGACCATGACKTTGTTTACCCATAAATCTACTGAAAGTTGAGTCCCTTTCTTATGATTGTAATTAGTTATTTTGAAAATAGTGTATCGCAACATAATAATTTTTCATTTTAAAGAAAAATTTTAGGAGATGTCTAGTAAAATGATAACATTTTGAMAACAAACCTCGCTGGACTCTTATCATCCGCCATCTTGAATTTTGCCGCGCTCAATGGTACGCGTGACAAACTGGGATGTACCGCTGGACATTTGTATAGAGGGCGCCACGGAAAGGTTTCGCATAATGATCAGTTTTTTTCAAAACACGATGTTTTGCTAAACACATAACCCGGCCCTAGCATAAAAAGATATAAAGTAACGATAAAAAAATAAATCAAAAACTTAATTAACCTAAAGTTTAGAGCTAAAAAATTTCTTGAGTAATGATTTTATATTAAAGTAAATTTTTGAAATGTTATTCTTATTCTTAAAAAAAAAGAAGAAATAATAAAGAAAATTTAAATAATAATAATAAGAAGTAAGAAATATAAAATCCTTATTGCGCAAAAATTGCGCTAATTTCCAGTCTCTCTTGATTAGTGAAGAGGTTTTCGTTGGCCTATTAGGACTCGGTCGAGAGCCGATTTCCGGGTCGCATGACAGCACATTATCAGCGAGGTTTTTGCTCGTTGSTTGATCGTTTGTTCTCTTCCGCAGTTTTACCTTAATCTTGCCTTCATCTTTAAATGTCTTTTCATATATTACTGACTACGACATAGCGAGAAAGATATTGATGAAGCAACTAAGCGTTTTACTAAAGTTTTWCACATCAAAACGATGCCATGTTGGAGGAGTGATTGCGAGTGCTACTGCAAAGGGTTGTAATGGGCCAACAAAATGCTAAGGCCTTCACTAGAAGCTCCAAGAATTCAAAAGCCACAGAATCTCWTCCTGAAAAAAAYTCTGTTCTTTCACCAGGTATTGTTTCTAATTAACATACATGTGAWTGATTTGTAGYGCTTTTGCGTCGTAGTCCGCTTGGTGATCACTAATCGATTTTTTGGTTGTGCATGTTCGGCAAGATTACTGAAATGTCTGAATGATATCCATTCTAACATTTCAACGTCTTCCTTATTTTAATTTTCTTGGATCAAACATAATGTTTCTGGTCATTCCTTGTGGTTAAATCATAACCGAAGCTAAGGGACTTCTACACGTAGAAAGAGTCGTGTCAGATGTGGTGTGAGCTCGGTTATAATTAATAATACTTGCAGTAGTTTAAACCACTAGTACTCCGTTTCACAGAATCTTGTTAGCTCTTGTAAAATTCYCACAAACTCTGCTGCTATGGTATTAAATTTCTAATACCACAGGAAAGAATTTCCTTGTTGAGTATTTGACATCCAGACGTCATTGATAAAACAATGAACATTTGCTTGTGGGCAGAACACAGTCAAAACATTGCATTGCTTTTTAAGCTCTACACTTTCATAAGTCTCGTGTCGAATAGAGAGTTGTACGAACCTTGATAGAGACGAGCATATTTTAGACAATTCTACGCGTGTTGCGTCATGCTTTTGTTCGACTTACTAGGTATATTTTGACCCTTGAAATTTTTATTATGAAGCAAGCTGAATTCAAGGGAGGAGAGCAAACAACTATAAACATTCCACTCAAGATGAAAAACATATTACACTTCAAGAACTCGTTATGATTATTAGAATCATAAACAGTGTCAGTTATATTTGTCTTACAATAAAGATCATATCAAGTGGTTGAATTTTATCACCTACAAATTATACGTCAATTCAACAGTTCATTCATGAATAGGAGTTCATCAATTAAGTTGTACCTTGTTCTTCATATTGTAATATTTTGATGCACACATGTGAGCTTATAACAATCGATTATTCATTGACCATGTGAACAAATTGTCAAGCTAGTTAGCTACTACATGTAGAAACTACAATGGGAAGTCATTTTCACGGTAACAGAACATCACTCTATTATCAAAAATGAAAGTTTAGAAGCATGCATTCTGTAAAGCTTCCAGAGCACAAATTTGTGTTTTCAATTTCTTTCTTATCCAAATATTTTAAAAAAATATTCAACAGTATTTTATAATTATCAAGTAAATTTATCAGAAGATTCTATTGATAATAAGTCTTTAATTAGGAAATATTAAAAATTTCTAATAACCAGGAATGCTGTCACTAATTAATATGATTATCTTTAGGAGACTTTAATCTTGCATGCATTACTGACTATATAAACAAACATTTCTTAATRTATGTGGTATACTAATACTATAATCCATTTTTCTCATAAGAMATTTCATGGCTTAGAATAACCCTGAATAGCTTTAAAATAACWTAACAATAACCTAAGAATAATTCAGCTCTTTGAAATAACACAGATGATGAAAAGCTATTACATTTACCAATACCAAAAAGGCCATCTTCTTGTAATTATTGAAAGTAAACCATTTTTTAAGAAAAGTCCTTTGAAAAATATTTGAGACGATAAACATGTACATAAGCATAACAAAATTCACAAAGAAAATGTGCATATGTTGAGGCTGTCACCTGTTAACCTCACTTGCATTTCTTTGTTTTGATGAATATTGTGGAGCTCTATCGTTTCAAAGTAATCTTATCTCAACCATGGAAATTTTAGCCAATTTTTCTACTTAATCTAGAATGGCTGAGCTACCCATGGAATGATCTATTTTTTTTTATTGAGAGAAGACAATCAAAAACTGCTTTAAAATATGTCAAAGTGAAATATTAAAAGCAGAGAATTAGCTGTAGCTCCACATGCAAAAGCATAACAAATCTTATTTATTATATAAAAACGAAATATTTGATGCCACATGCTTTAAGCTCTAACAATAGTTTACAATATAGTATTGATTATTGCCTTGTATAAAGGCTTGCATAACAAATCTATTTATTATATAAAAACAAAATATTTGATGCCACATGCTTTAAGCTCTAACAATAGTTTACAATATAGTATTGATTATTGCCTTGTATAAAGGCTTCATCAGATAGCAGAATATTAAAAAAAATTTGCTCTATACTTTCTGTCAGACAAGAAAGGTGTTAATACCACAGATAGACTTAACACAAAACAACAAAAATAAGATTTAAAAAATTAAAAAAAAATTTTACTGAAAATTAGACAAGACTGTCTAAACATGCATATATATTATGGATTAAAAATATACAAACACTACCTTTCGTCACTTATATGACTTCTATTTTAAATTCAATTTTTCTTTGATAAAACTAATTTCTATATAATTATTCTCCTGATAGTGTTTTATTGTTACTATTTATTTTATTCTAACAGTAGGTATTAATTTCTATTCAAATTAATATTCTACACAAACTACTTGGCTGCCTAGGACTTGTAATCATTACCAGTTTTAGGCTACAATGTATAAATCTATGTTTTGTAACTTTATATTCATTTGGCAGCATAATAATAACATCATAAATTATTTTTGTATGTTATATAAAAAATCTAAAAATGCTTAAAATGCTTTAAAAACTACTTAAAATAAGTAAAAATCTGACAGCTCAGGGAGGTGCGTCTAAGCTCTACCCCTCTGAATTTGCCACTGATAGTTACCATTTTACAACTTGCTTACAACAGCTGCCTTCTTTTTCCAGAGAGCGTAACTAAAAGACCTTTACCAGAGACTCCAATAGAACAATCACTACAGCAATGGGACTCAAAAGATAATCTTGAAAATACTCCTATATATGAAGAAGACACAAAGGTCTTTATTGCTATCCATGATTTTCAGTCTGGGGGTGAAAACCAGCTCAGTATTCGAGCAGGAGAAGAACTTATAGTTCTTAGGTACAATGACACGGGGGAGTGGTGTGAGGGACAGTCCCTCAAAGGCCAAGTTGGTTGGGTACCAAGTAGCTACATTAAACCTGTAAATAGCATAGAAAAACACTCCTGGTATCATGGCCAGATTTCCAGGAAYGCAGCTGAATATTTGCTTAGTAGTGGCATAAAYGGAAGCTTTCTTGTCCGAGAAAGTGAAAGTAGTCCAGGWCAATTATCTATATCRCTGCGYTATGATGGACGGGTSTATCACTATAGAGTCAGCCAGTCTACGGACTCCAAATATTACGTTTCAACAGAGAATAGATTTTCTACAATTGGTGAATTAGTACATCATCATTCTGTAAGCCCTGATGGACTGGTCACTACGCTTCACTATCCTGCTCCAAAAATGGAGAAGCCGGCCGTATATGGGTTTTCCCCGGAACCAGATGAGTGGGAGATTGAAAGGACAGAAATCGCCATGAAACACCGACTAGGTGCTGGTCAATATGGTGAGGTTTATGAAGGAGTTTGGAAGAAACACAACAGAACKGTAGCTGTCAAGACACTCAGGGTAATACAATAACCCTCTTTTGATGTTGTGGTCCAATAGACCTTTTTTGAAATATGAAATCATAGTGCATTGTGGTCTAGCTTTAGTTCAAACAACACCATATTTAGGTGCCAAATCTAGACCACAATGCATTGTGCTATGCCATTTCAGACAAGGCCTATGATCATGCAGAAAAGAACTGATCAGGCTTTGGGGAAACAAAGGGATTTTCCCTGGAGCTTTGTTTTTAATTCTTTGAGAGTGGTCAGTCAGCCAAAATATTGTTGTCTATTGTACAGTATGAGCAGTAGATTTTTTATAGATTTGATTACAGGATTTGCAAGCAATGTAGCAAATGAATATATATTTGTATAATTATGTAGTGGTAACAGGCATTCCTGCTTTGAGGGGGGAGGGGGAGGGAATGGTGAGGAGGAGGAGGAAAAGTGAACACCTGCTTATTTATTTATAATTTATCCTCGCTGGCTTTTGCCATTGATGAAAGCACTTTACCCTTCTTACTTTCAAATGTTGCTTACTTTTATTTTTGTTACAGTAAGAATCAGTGACTGCTTTGAAATATTTCAGAAATGTGTACTTGAAAATTGACTTTAGCTAACAAACAAGAAAGCATGATAAAAAAAAGAAATTAAAAAACTTTGTGTTTATTCTCTAAAATGAAATTATACTATTTGTAAGCTCTTTACAGGCCAGTTTTTGGTTATAAACTAGTTTAGTTATTATTTTGCAATGTTGAAATCTCGATCAAATTTGCATGTGAAAATGCACTCATAGACAACAGTTGACCTCCATTCTGTTTGGTCAATCAACAACCAACATTTCTGAAATTTTAGTAGTCAGTCATGGCTTTTCAATTCCCACTGTTAGTAATTTTTAATGTCTGTTTGGTCTTCCTCCTTTGCTTTTCTAATGGTGTGTCCCTTAACAATACCAGGAAGAGACTATGGAAGTGGATGAGTTCTTAAAAGAGGCTGCAACAATGAAGGAAATCAAGCATCCCCACTTGGTCCAGTTATTGGGCGTGTGTACCAGGGAACCACCTTTTTACATTATTACTGAGTTCATGGTGAATGGAAACCTATTGGATTATTTACGAAGTCCAAAGGGAAAAGATTTAGATGCAGTTACGTTGATGTACATGGCAACACAGATTGCATC